ACATACTTTGGACATGTTTCCAGGAGGGACGGGTCCTTGGAGAGGGACATCATGCTTGGGAGGGTGGAGGGACGGCGCAGGAGGGGAAGACTCTCTATGAGATGGATTGATTCGGTGACGGGTAATCGGGATGGATATGTCAGAGGCGGTGCAGTTGGCGCAGGATAGAGCAGGGTTTAGGGCTGTTGTACATAGGGTCGCTATGAGTCGCAAACGACTCGACAGCACATAACAACAACAATTTCCTTTTTACCACCCCCTAAATATAATTACGCATCTTCAAAGAATAACCACTTTAGGGTTTAATTCTTGGCTACTTTTTGTCACTGCTGTCCAATATGAACCAACTCACAGCTAATCCTCCAGCCAGTTATTAGTGGTTGTGAAATGCATGGGCGGAGATTGCCTGCTTTTATCTTTTGAGCAGCTGATGGATTTGAACTATGTACACTTTGGTTGGCAGTGCAACTGCTTACCAGTTAGGCCACCAGAGCCTCCTTTTCACTCCCTTTTAAATTGTTGAGGTACTTAATTTTCTGAACTCCTACCTGGGTTATGATTTTCATACACCCCCCTCTTGTGGTTACTATTATTCACTTGGTAATGCCATTATTTTTTCTGAATGCTGTCTTTCTCTCATAGCCTCTGATTGTTTTTTATTAATAAACTAGAATTATTTTCATAAATTTGTGTTGTAATTATGTAAAGAATTTTCTTTTGAGCCTTTCTCCTGGCACTTTCATTATATTGGGGGCCCTCTAGACTAGTGTGTAAATCCTTCCAAGGATTCTCAGAATACTCATGTTTCTTTATTTATGCCCTACCTTACTGTGGCAGAAGTTGAAACAGATGATGGTGGAGAGAGCACTCGATGACAAAAGAAAAACTGGCCCATCATCCCAGCTCTGTCACTGTTTAGTGAGTAACCTTAGGCAAGTCAGGCCCACATTTGAAAATTTCAGTATCGGTAGCATCATGATGGATGGCAAAGAGATTGAGATTGTTCACAGCTTCAGTTTGCTCGGCTCCACGGTCAATACTCTTGGCACCAGTAGCCAGGAAATCAAAAAGCGTATTGCGATGGGAAAGTCTGCTGTTAGGAACCTCTCCACAATACTCAAGAGCAACAGTGTCTCTCTGGAGACTAAGGTCCGCCTGATACAGGCCATGGTTTTTGCAGTCGCTTGTTATGCATCATAGAGTTGGACAATGACTAGGGAGGATAGAAGGAGAATTGACGCCTTTGATCTGTGGTGCTGGAGAAGAGTATTGAATGTGCCATGGACTGCCAAGAAACAAATAGATTCATCGTAGAGAGGGTTAAACCAGGCTGCTCCTTGGAGTCAAGGATTCTGGGGCTTCGTCTGACATACTTTGGACATGTTGTAAGGAGAGACAGGTCTTTAGAGAGGGACACCATGCTGGGTAGAGTGGAGGGACAGCACAGGAGGGGAAGACCCTCTATGAGGTGGATTGATTGAGTGACTGGGGCACTCGGGATGGGTGTGTCAGAGGCAATGAGATTGGCACAGGATAGAGCACGGTTTAGGGCTGTTGTACATAGGGTCGCTATGAGTCGCAAATGACTCGATGGCACATAACAACAATAACAAACAATCTGTAAAATGAGTTTGGTTTTACATGTGTTGTTGTTGGTTTTGGTTTTGTTCTTTTTTTTCATCCTTAATATGTCCCAGGTGAAATTTAGTGATTATCTAGTAAAGGTCATCAGTGGTTTTCTGGATGACCTTGCTATCTATAGGAACAAGTTCCATGGCTAGGAACTATATCTGAGAATGTATTTAATAACCAAAAAGTAAACTCAACACCATGGGATGGATTTGGCTCATAGCAACCCTCCATTTGATTCCCAAGGCTTTAAACCTTTGCAGCAGTGTTACCAAGGAACATTTGTATCTTTGATAGAGTTCATTTCCAGTTTGATACGTTTTTCATTTTATCTGTGTACTTATCTTCTAGATTTACAAGACAATGACAGAAGCATCCTATTGCCCTTCTGTATTTATAAATTGGTAATAACCTTAAATCTATGGAATCATAGGCTTAGAGTCACCTTTCACTTTTTCACTGCTTAAGTTCTTGTTGTTGTTGTTGTTGTTAAGTGCTGTGGAGTCACAGGCGACACCTAGCGACCCTATGAAGGAGAGTCCTTGACGCTTGGGTGCCTTTCATCCTCTCTCCAGGTTCATAGGGTTTCTGGAGGCAAGCTGTTATGGAAGTGGATGCCACTCCTCCTTCCAAGCTTGTTTTAATCAGGGAGCTTCACCCCACTGTCCAATCATTAACGCATTTGACACATCAGTGTCACAGTGTTCAGCCTCACAGCAACCAAAAGTGACCTCAGTACTGCAGCTTGTACACCAGGGGCTGTACGACCTAGAGGAATGTCTGAACAAAAACAATGAAAGACCGGCCCAAGGGCAGCGAATTAAAAGTCACCCACCTTTGGCTTGGTTGCATCACTTTCTGTCCACTGGGCCAGCTGATCTCTCTATGTTGCTATCATTGTTGTTAAATGCCATTGAGTCGCAGGCGACTCATAGCGACCCTATGAAGGAGAGTCCTCACCGTTTGAGTGCCTCTCTTCCTCTCTCCAGGTTCATAGGGCTTCCGGAGGCAAGCTGTTATGGAAGTGGATGCCACTCCTCTTAGCTCTGTTAAAATAGCATCCAGATTCTGTTTGACTTTTGTAGCTGGAAAAAGTCAGTACAACTATTGTTCATCATTCTGTTTATAAATCAGAATATGTATCTTTATATTAAGTTGAATTGTGTCTTGCATAACTCTCACCTGCTGAATGGTTATAGTTAGTGGACGTTTTTTGGTACTTGTAAACAGATACCATGTCTTCTGCTCTGCCTTATTACCTTGAATCCCTGTACCAAGACCTCTTAAATTAAACAAACCTCATTGTATCCTTTGGACTGCCTTCCCCTTGCCTTTCATTGTATGAAATCTTAATTCATGAGTTATTGACAATCTGCTCTACATTTGGCATCCTACGCAGAAGTCACAAAAAGGGAGAGAGTAAATGGCACATTATTAAAATTATTTTTATAAAAAAGTCAGTTATTTGTCTGTTTGTTTCCCTCTTTTTGTTTTCTTATATCTAGATACAAGTTTTATTAACTCTTCAAGTCATTTAACAAATAGTTATTACCTCCTAGAAGTTTTAGATACTATATTGTGTACTTATTTTTTGTCTCCTCTACTCATCTTTAAATAGCCAGTTAGAAAATCTTTGAATGATTGCCTCATAATATTCATTAGAGTTTTATTTTTGTAGATTTTTCTGTTGGTTCCCAAATTTTTCTAACAGGAAAAATACTGAATGTTTTAATAATGTGCTGTCTTTGCATCCCTACTTTCTGTTTTCCTGGCATTTGAGAAAAAATCCAAATATAGAGTTATTAGGTCAAAATCTAAGAGTTTTTGAGAAGGAGGATATTAGAACACATGGAGTAGCTGTGGAAATATGTCCCTTCCTTTAGGTTTTTATAAATAATGAAACTGCCTCACATATTTGGGGTATGCTACAGGAGAAGCCAGACCTTGGAAAAGGATATTATACAGAAACAGAGTGTCAGTGAAAGAGAGGAAGACCCTCAACAAGATAGATTGACACATTGACTACAATAGGCTTGAGAATGACAGAAATTAGGCGGAGGATGCCAGATAGGATAAGGTTCTGATTTATTATTCTTAGGGTCACTATAAGTTGTATTTGACTTAATAGCACCTAACAACAAACATAAAAAATGAGTAAATATGCCCTTTCCCCCAGAGCTTTACAAATGCTGAGTGCTATTAAGAATGTTGTAAGTATAAAACAGTATATATACATTTGAGAACATAAAATGAAATATTTTAGTTCATTAATGATATTTATATCTGTCTTTAGTTTCTATGATATCAACTAGTATAAGAAATACCTTCACCATGTAACTCTTTTTTTCCCTATTTTTTAACCTTGATTTTTTTAAATTAATTTTAATGAAAGTTTACAGAGACTTAGGGTTTCTGTTCACTCATTGATGCACTTTTCTCCCTGCCCACCCCTGCCCCTCCAATTCACTCTTGTAAATTTAAAAACTCTTTGCAGTCCTTCCCCTCAAGTCCACTCCACTGTGTAGCCTTCATTATGGACTCCTGGAATTAAATCTATGAGTACCATCACTTATGTCAGAGCTGTGGTGGGATAGTCTGTAGGGAGTTGCTCTGCTAATTCAAAGCTGGTGCCTTTGGTTGAGGTTCGAATCCACAAGCAGCTCCACAGGACAAATATGGGCAATCTTCTCCCGTATGATTTATAGCCTTGGATTACTCTCCGGTGAGTCAGCTGTGACTTGGTTCATACTCGAAGGAAAATGAATGGGTGTGAATGTGTCATTGATACCATTTTAAGGTGGTTGAAACTGGGACTGCCCATTCATCTGCATGTTTCTCTTTTCAGGAACACTACTTATTGCAGCAAAGTTGCATTTCCTCTGGAAGTAGTTCAAAAGGACAAGTGCTTCAAATCTGCTATGAAACTCCCAATACATAGATTGTATCTAGAACATAGTCTACAGAAGATCACTTGTCCAAATGTGGATGGATTTTTTCCTTCCAACATCAAACCAACTGTCACTTGGTACAAGGTAAGCAAAACAGAGAACATTTACTCATCTCTAAAATGACAATTATTGTTTCTTGAGTGAAGTGTAGAAATTGAGATTATTTTTTTCTTCTCACATTTTCTAATTTCTTCCTTAATAACGCTACACTGTCATCAAGCAAACTGGAGCTTCTCTTAAATAAAGCAAAGTTCATTGAAGGAACCAAGTGAACCAAAATTGAACAGAAATTCATTAAAACTCACTGTCATAGATATGAGAAAGGAATTATTCACTGAGCTTAAATACAGAAAATCTAGGAATTTGTAAAACATAATTTCTGATTGGTTAATATATATCAAAGCATCCTTGGACATACACAAGACTGTGACAGTTTGATCCCTAACATGTTTATCTAATGGTCAAGTTTGAGTAACTGTCTAATCTGTGAGAATCTTGAGGGTGCACCAGAGAGCATGCTATGAGAGGGAGCAGCTGAGGGGAGTCTGCAGGCTTCCTAAGATAAGCTGGTTAGCTGACTTCTGAAAGTCAACAGAGATCAAGCAAGATGCAGCAAAAATGGAGTCTGACCTGTACTTTTGGCATAAAAAAGCTTATCACCTTATACCAAGCATTTGAGCTCTTTCCCAATATAGGTTATTTCACCACTTGATTAATTTCTACCATTTTTAAAGTTAGAGGTGCTCTACCTCTGGCCATTTCCTAAATTACATTTCCTGCACTACCAGAATCACCGTATGTCTATTAACTTACTATGAAACACATTTTGAAAAATGATTTCCACTGCTCCTCACTGCTTCGCTCCTTCTCCTTGCAGTCCAGTTTGAACCAGCTCAAGACTGAGTCACTATTGAGTAAAATCAAAAGCTGCCGATTGCTGGGGTGAATCTCAGCTGCCTGATTTTCAGCTTTTGTATGTGTTCTCAGTAGCCCATCTGTGATTTCTTTCACATCTGGGGATTTTTTGAGTATTAATTAAAAACAATTTGTTGCAAGTTGATATTTGTAACAATGAATTTTTAATCTTTTCATTTTCCAATTAGAGTGAATAGCCCATGGACTACGGGTCAGTGATAACACACACACAAAAAAAAACCACCCCAATTTTTAGCAAAGTTTGTGAGACAAGCAAACAACTTTAACATACATATGTTATTCTGTGTGTGTAAGGAGCCCTGGCAGTTAAGGGGTTAAGCACCTAACCACCAATTGGAATGTCAGTGGTTCGAACTCATCACTCGGAGGAAGATGAGATAGTTTGCTTACATAAATATTACATCTTTGGACACCTTATAGAACGGTTCTGATCTGTTCTGCAGCATCAATATGAGTTAGAATTGACTCAATTACAAGGAGTTTTTAGTCTATCTGTAGAGAGGGGAGAAGGAAACAGTGGGGTCACTGTATACTTAGAGAGTCCTAAATAGCTAAGATACACTGATTGAAAAATATGGTGGGCAAATTTGACTACAGATTTTGAAATTGGGAACGGTTTCACTCCCATATGGGTTGTAAGTGGAAGTGGTCAGTCCATGGTAAGAAATTCTGAGATTTGCAAGAGTTATGGAATGAAAAACAATCAGCCATATTGAAGACAAAGTGTTCAGGGGTTTTGTGCATTTTATATAAATTACGAATCAGAGAATAATAATAATAATTCATGTATAAATGAAAGATAGACAAATTATAAATATAAAAAAGCAATTACAATGTAATGTTATTTATACACTCATTGTAATGGCTTAGGCGTAGTCACTGAAAATAATTTTAATTTTTTTTATTTTTAAAAATTTTCATAATAAATTGTTAGAAGAGTAAATGAAAACAGCTAGAAATTCAAAAGACAAATTGCATTGGGAAAATCTGCTGTGAAGGACCCTCTCCAGAGTACTGAAAAGCAATGATGTCAGTTTAGAGACTAAAGTGCATCTGATGTAGGCTGTGGTATACTCAATTACTTGCCATGTGTCAGAGAGCGGGACAGTGACTAAGGATGATAGAAGAAGTATTAATACCTTTGAGTTGTAGTGCTGGAGAAGAGTATTGAATATACCATATACTGCTAAGAGAACAAACAATTTCAAACTGGAGAGAGTGAAACCAAGTTTCTCCTTGGAGGCAAGGATTTTGGAGCTTCATCTTACATACTTTGGGGATGTTGCAGGGTGGACCAATCATTGGAGAGGGATATCATGTTTGGAAGGGACAGTGTAAGAAAGAAAGACCCTGACTGAGATGGATTGACTCAGTGCCTGGGGTAATGGGGGTAGGTGTGTATCAGACACAATAAAGTTAGCTCAAAATAGAGCAGGGTCCAGAGCTGTTATAGATAAGATCAATAGGAATTGCAAGTAACTTATCAGCACATATCAAGTTAACTTGTATTGTTGTCAGATGCACTCTAGTCATGTATGAGTCATAGTGACCCTCTGAATAACAGTTCTGAACTCAGTCATTTCCTATGCCATTTGCACACTACCTGATACATTAGGAGCCATTACGGGAATCACATTGTCAATCTACCTGGATGAAGGTCTTCTTTTCCTTCATCAACCCTCTGCCTTTCCAAGCATTGTGTCCCTCTCCAAGAAATAGCCTCTAGCAACATGCCCAAAGTATGTGAGGTGAAGTTTTATCATCATTGCCTCCAAGGCAAGATTCTGGCTGCCCTTTCTCCAAAATGTATTTGTTTACTCTTTTAGCAGTACATGTGATACTCAGTACTTTTCTCCAACACCACAGCTCAAGGACATCAATTCTTCTTCTGTCATCCTTAGTTATCATTGCATAGCAAGTGATCAGAAAGATCATAGCCTGAATCAGATGTACATGAGCCCTCAAACTAACATCATTGTTTGTCAATAATTTGGAGAGGGTTCTGACTGCAGACTTTCCCAGTGCAGTATGTCTCCTGATTTCCTTGCTGTTGGTACCAAGGGTGTTGATAGTAGATTCAAGTAAGATGAAATTGTTGACAGTTTCAATCTATTCCCCATCAATCATGATTTTTGCCTATAGGCCCAGTGGTAAATATTTTTGTTTTCTTGATGTTGAAATACAGTTAATATTGAAGGTGGTATTTTTTTATATTCTGCAAAAATTCTTCAAGTCCTCCTCACTCTCAGTAAGCAAGATTGTGTCATCTGTATAACACAGGTTATTGATGAGTCTTCCTCTGCTCTTGATGCCACATTCTTTTTCACAGACTCCAGCATTTTGAATAATTCGCTGAGTATATTGACTGAATAGGTATGAAGAGAGAATACAACCCTGATGCATTCCCTTCTTAATTATAAACCATGTAG